AAACCTTTCATAATGGTTTTCATTTTGATTAAACTTTTTTTTTTTCCTTTATTCAGTCAAAGACTGAGTGTTGACTTACTCAACATCGAAGGACTCAGTAGGACTTCTCTATATCACATGCCATCTGTGCAACAGCAAAGAAGTGGCCACTCCATTTTGCAGAGAAAACATGCTCTGACAAAACAGAATAATTTACCTCTCATGTTTTATGTTTAAGCTTTGCAAGATATTATCTTGCCATTTTTCCAGATGAAAACGAAAGGATTTTTAAAAATGTGCTTCATTTAACCTATTTACACCCCATGTAAAATCGTGAGTTTGAAAATACTTTTCCACTATCACACATATTACAGAACATTTAAACCGTTACAAGTATAGTAAAATACTTTCAAGGTATTTTGATTTCCAAAGATGCAGTATCCTTACAGTTACATTTGTGTACTAAAACTTGATTTACTGTGGAAATTATCAGAATTTAAGCATTTTTAAGGTACCGATGGGCTTGACTTCATAAGCATACATTACACAGCAACTGTTATGCTATAACAAAACTGTGAAAATAGAACAGTCTTTAAATTTCTTTGTCCACTTCTCCAGTTATAAATCACAGGCAAAGGCACAACACAAGAATACAAGCTGGTTTCTTAAGAGGGTAGTATTTTCTTTTATGTGTTTATTTCCAATTTTTCCTTTTCTGTTTGTTGTTTTGTTTTTAAAGAAACTTATTACCTGCACATGGGTGGAGGCATGTGGAAGTGCTCGAGTTTACATGCATGGGTGTATGGATGAGTGTGCAGGAGTAGGGCGGATTTACTGAATGATCTTTAGACTTGTCTGCTATGGAAGATGCAGTTTCACACACTGACCTTTGCAAACCAAAGTTCAAACTAAAAAATAAGCTGGATATTAATGGTGAAACTTAACTCTGATTTGGAGGTACCCACCTTCAATAAAGGAGAAAGAGATTTTTTTCCATTAAACAGCATTTATTATCAGAAGATAAATTGATAAATGGCAACTAGGATACATTTTCATTGTGGCTAATGGAAAATGAGACTTATGATCACTGGTATTCCCATTATTAAAGGGGAGAAAGGTTGTCCAGCTATTTGTCCATGCTCTGCACTGTGAGTTTACCCCAAACATCAATATCACTGATGTAATTTTTAACACTGTTAATTTTGTTATACATTACTCCAGCAAATAATCATATTTACAAGTCAGTCTAAATCTATTTAATTAATTGTGTAAGCATGATAGAGAATAAGGAATACTGCATCTTCATCCCCGAGTATAAACTGCTATTGCAACGAGCCAATTTTACAGTGCTGAATAAAACAGGTGCTCAAAAAATAATGACAGTTTAAAATTTAAAAAGTTCTGTATCAAAGCTGTTCGCTCGTTACATTTTCCTATAATGCTGGCTACTGAGATTTCCTGACAAATCCATTGGATCCTTTTGGAAACATTTGAAATCTGACACTTTGTGGCATAGCTTCCATTGTAAGCTGCAATCAGCACAGTGGATATTATCCTTTACCCTTTATATATATATATGTATATATATAAAGGATATATCCTATATCCTTTACTTATACTTGAAAGCATAAATTCTATATTTTCGAAAGAACGGGACACTGTATATTTGTCTCTCCCAACTGCTCAATTAAGATGGACCTACTGTGCTGTGTCAAGACGAGACCCACAGAAGTTTGGCAGGTCTGAACCACAGCCACTGATGGAAGGACACCCTGAGAATCTGCGGGACATCAGCTCCACATCCAAACACTCTCCTCCCACAGGGTAACTTCTCTTAAAATATTTTTGAAGGTGAAAACAAACCAGAAAACAACCTCACAGAGTATTTGGGGCCAAAGCCTGTGGGCACTGGTACGAATGAGTAACATGCCAAGAACCATACTGGGTACCTGAAACCCAGTGGTGGAGTAGTGCTGGTTGTGTTAGTTGTCTAGAGGTAACAGTAGCACAAAAACCCTTTACACGTGTGCTGGAAGGTTGAGGATATACTTCCTGCCTGTGAAATAATAAAATTTAGCGTACACTCCTTTGCCTTTTGGTTTCATTGTGTTACCATTGACATGCTCTGTGCCTGTGTCCCTTGGTGTGAGTGCTTCTTTATCCCTGTAGCACTTTGGGGTTCCTTGAATAAAACCAGACTCGAACCAGATGGCCAACCAGTTGAAAGACAAGAGACTCAGACAGACCAACCTGTCTTAGGAGATGAGCATCCCCTGGGTCTGTGGTACATATGCTCCTCCTTGGGGCAGTTCAGAGCTGAATGCTGAAATTAAAGGCCTCTCAACCTCTCTCGGAACAGTTTTTCCCTCTTCATTAACTACAGAGGAAGCCCAAAGAAGACACTGGTCTCTCTCAGTTATATTCTGCCCTTGTAAATAACATCAGAGAAGATATCTCTCACTGCTCCTCTTGTATGCTAATAGAATGGCCTTAAGAGCTTCCGGTCAAATCAACTTCAGGAAAATAATTTTATCAATTGACTTCTACCTGACCTGACTTCTTTCAAATGACAGATCCATTTAAGAGGACGATATTGAAATACATAAAAGACAGACCTCAGACATAATCCATGAACCATCTCACACACAACACTGACAACCAGTTTTTTAAACCAACAGCAGTAATGCTGCTGGTAAAGAGCCAGTTCTGCTGCTCCGCAATGCCTCATGGCCTCTCCAGAATCCCTTATCCATCGCAGCCTTTTCATGCTTTGCACGGACACTTAACGCCTCTGCTTCACTCCTGATTTGGAGCCAGATACTAAAACATTGCTGAATTTTGTAGAAGCTGATCACCAACACAGTCAATGGGAACGGATAGAGGCATTTTTCCCACAACAGCTACAAACAATTTGTCTGGGGTTTCTCTGCTGACCAACTGGCAGAGGAGAGCCTGAGCTTTTTTCAGAGAGCTGATAAACTATCTGGTACTGGGGAATACTAAGAATGTATTTAAAGACAATTCAACTCTGAGGCCCATGAATGTTGTTATAAAGTATTGTCCCAGTCATATTAATGCTCAATTAACTGTAATTGCTTTCAGTATCTGTATGTGTTCCCTGTGGTGGTTTTTCTTTAAGATTACCTTGATTTCAGAATCCCCCCCAAACATTACTACGGTTACTTCAGGAATCAGAAATTGATTCAGACTGGTCAAACATTTCAAAATGAACAAGTGGCATCACAAGTTTAATCTGTGCAACTCATGGAACCAAATATTCATAATTAAATGCATTGCAAAAGATCTTCATGTATGCATCTTTTATTTCTAAGCTATAAAAACTTCAACACTTAAAAAATCTTGCCAAGCCCCACCTTTGTCAAATTTAGCTGAATAGGCAGATCCTTGTGAGGAAAGAAAACACAAAAAACACTATTATGTTTGCATGAACAACTGATGACTAAGAGCTTCTCTCTTTCCTACATAATTCAATTAATACAAATTGGTTCACAATCATAGGGCTGTATGGGAATGATCAAGAATTTCCTTTTATTTAATCGGAAAAGGCTTGGATTGAAAATCCCAACAGGGGCAGCCATTGGTACCAATATAAAAGGCCATTTTTATCATATTAGACAGCTGGCAAAATCTTGTTATTCCCTAACTCCCAGGGAGAAACCTAATGTCTTGCAGAGCATCACTGCAGAATCATTTCGCCTTTCTACTTATGGTCCATCCACTGACTTCTCACCAATCAGCTCTTTCCTTTATCTATTTTGTTTTTCAGACACAAGTATTATGTTGAAGGAAACGGAAGTACTCAATTGTGGTATCTAGCAGGTCAGTGAAACCTACAGAAAGATTAACTTACATGATCTTACGTGCTATTTCTGCATACTCCCCCTTCTGTTGGTGTAGAATAAATTATTATCTCAAGAGCCATTTTACTCATTATTGCTTTTTCTCTGCAAGAGATGCAGCCGTTTCTTCTCTGTTTCGGTCTGTTGGTACATTCAATTCCATTTAATGAATGGCTACACTGCTAACCTTGGTACCAGCAAGTAAAACATCTGACTATTGCCTTGTGTTCAAATAATGGTTGTGGGGAAAAGGATACCTGCATGAAAGAAAACTGCACTTGGAGAATGGGGCAGTAGTTTTCAGATGGGCTCTTCTATACAAATCAGAAAATGATTCTAAATAAGTCCATGGCAAAATACAGATACTTAATATTGTACTCTCAGCAGAAATGCTGTTGCCCCTTGTTTATTTTACAGATTTCAACAACAACAACAACAACGAAAGAAGAGAAAGGAAAAAAAAAAAAGAAAAAGGTTAAATGGCTGGTGTCCTCTAGGGCACAATGACAAATTGTGGTACAATATTAAAATGCCACCATTGTTATTGCAAAAGTCTGCTCAAGTGACCCTTCAGCTCTGACAGCAGGACCTCTCCATCAGAATCTTCTTGCCTACTCACATGCAGCTTGTCTGTAGCACAGCTCAGGCATAATGCTGACACAGGCCAGATGGTATTCAAAACAACAGGAAAAGACGGGATAATAAAGGTCTAGCAGTCTTGCTCTTATCATCATCATCATCATCATCATCATTGGTTTGTGGTATCTAATCCTCCAATCAGCAGTGATTTTTCAGGAAGAAAATGTCCGACAGCTGAGAAAACATACAAGCTATAAACATTTTTTTGTCAAAGGACGCAGCATGTAAAATAATGCCCATTCCTGTAGCATTTCAGCTGCTATTTCCCAGGTGATTGTGATGACACTTTCAGGGGGTAGCCATGCTGAGGGCAGACAGGGTTAACTTCAGATGGCGAGCAGAAGAGTGGCACTTCTTTTCCTGCTTTTTTTATTTTTTTAATTTCTGTTATTATTTTTTTCTTACCAACATCAGGGAAAGCCCTGCCTGTTAACACCGTGGAGGGAGATTCAGCCCTGCTGAATTCACTCCAGCTAGTTAAGAGACCCAGCTCTTAAACTCGGCTGGAACAGGTAGCGTTTCTCAAACCAGCATGTGCCTGCGGCGGTGGAGCGCCAAGTGATCTGAGCGAGAAAAGCTGCGGTCACAGTCTGCACACTTGAATGGCTTCACTCCCGTGTGCTTGCGGTAATGCCTTGTCAGTTCGTCGGAGCGAGCAAACTTCCAGGTGCAGCCTTCCCAGGTACATTTGTAGGGTTTTTCTCCTGGAAGAGAAAAAAGAAAGAGGGAAGAGGGGAGAAAAACAGGTGGTGACTTTCCCCATGTTGCTATTAATCCCCACAACCCCGTCCGCGCACTTCCCATGAACACCCACTGCCTAGGGGTTGCTTTAGGCCAGATTACACAATTACAAGGTACCAAATCTGCTGAATATAAGGAAAGGGCCTTGAGATTTATCACTCCTGTGGCATTCACATGACTAAGAAAATCAACAGGATTAAGGCAACAATGCAGATCCTACCTTGCAGGGGTGATGCGGGGATTAACATCAGGACAAAGGGCTGTGTAATTATTCTCGTGATTGCCGTACAAGTTTGCTACCCTCACCTCATTAGGCTACACTTCCTTGCAAAATGCCCAGATTTCCTGATATTTCAGCAAATTGTCATGGGCTGACACAGACTTCCAATTATTTTTATGAAGTTTATGAAGGTTTCTAATTATTTATGTAAACAACACCACAGGACATTTCTTAGCAAGCTGATAAAAATGAACTATAATTTCCCAATTAAACATAAAATTTCAATCTGCAAAGCATCCTCTTTATTTACTGCACTTGCTTTCAGTAAAATTAATTTTGCGTGCAAGATGTTAACAGGAACAGTGTACAAATTTTAAATGCATTCAGCCATAGGACTTGCACAAAGCTGTTGATAAACACCAATTTACTTCAATGAGATCAGACTTGGGGGAAGTGTAGATTTTTAGAAAATCCCACCCCCTGCTTTTTACTTAAAGTGAACCATGATGCTTGCCTTGCGTTCTGTGTCATATCAAGTCAGAGGAGAAGATTAATACAGCAAATATGGATTTTGTGCTTTCATAAACCAAACTGTTATAGAACCCTATTTTTGCCATGTTTGTAGGCTATAATTATTTGCAATTTCTATCACTAGCCCTCAATATCTACATGTTAGATGCTCTTGGCAGTTACCTTGATCTCACAGTCTAGCGTGCACCGAAACTGAGGAAGGGAAACTGTGTGAGGTCCATATGTATCTTTCTTTGGTGTGTCAAAAATGATTTTTTACCTCCCCTTCCGAAACCAGCTAATCACAACCAGGACAACAGAAGAGCATCTCTGCAACAACTGTTTCCTTTGTCAGGCTCAATCATTCCTCAGTTATTTATTATCTCTTATGAATCACGAGCAGCTTGCAAGATACTATTTCAATTACATGAACCAGTGACGCAATACCTGCTTTGTCGTAGGCAGCAACTCCCTCTGTGTATCTCATCTTCAAAAGTCAATAAATGCTTTACTGAGAGCCCTTGGTTTCAAAAGAAAATTCCCAAGTAAGAATATCATCGCAAAGTTCAAACAGCCCTGAAAAGTCCAGCTGAAACGGCCATGGGTGCCTCCGTAAGAAAATCAGATGCTTTTCAGGCATGTCAGCAGGGTTGTCAGCAACATCTGAGCTCCTTGGGCTGGTACCTTCTGTGCACCATCTGGGCTGTGCTCTAGTTTTGATGTCAGGCAGGGGTGGGAAACAGTTGCTGCGAGGAAAACTCAGCAATCCAGCCTCTGAGGTGACCACAGCCCATAGCTGCACCAGCAGCAACTGAGCCTGGATAATTTTACAGCCCTCTGCCAAGCACAGAGCACCAAATAGTGTTCATTGCCCCTAGGCAGCCACAGTGTTGGTTGCTTGGAATCTGGCAGCTGCCGCAAGCTGAATGCGCACAAGCTACGTGGCAGATGGCAGGTTGCGTGCTCTTGCCAAAGTGCTACAAAATGTGTTCAGATTCACCACTGAACTGTCTTACGTACACACCCTTGCCACAAACTGTTGGTGCGGAGCACTGAAAAAATAAAGCAGTCTCCCCATTGGACTTGGCAGGTCCATCCTAATGGTGTTGTCACACTACATCAACAGTTTCCAAGTGGAGTGCTTGCCCTGTCCATCCTCAACGCACTTTAAAACTCTCTTTTTTGTTTAGACTCTGGATACTACCCTGGTTACATTCTCTGACCAAAGAGACTTCCAGAGCAAAATGAGAAGGTATTTCCTAAGCTTTGGATCCTTATTTAAAAGTATCTGAAATCTGAAGTCTCTCCCTGCTTTGAGGTCCTTCCTCTGCAACGGCCTCTTTAGTACCCAAATCCCAGCTCCTGTTTCCCTTGGCAGAAGACAAATGGAGAAGCCGATGCAGGGAGGGATAGGTGGCAAAAGAGAAATACTAGAAATAGTTTGTTCGTCCATTAGAACAGTACCACTTTGGGTAAGAAATGAAAGTCAGCTGATGGAAGGACCTGAGTGCAGGTCACTCCGCTGGAGTTCCCAGGTGTTGCTTCCATCCTCCTTCCTCAGTGTGTCCTGCTTACCCAGCCCCTATAGGGCTATGTGAAAGAGACAGGACTAACCACATTCCTCTCAAGCTATTTACACCACTGAAGGAAAATTGGTCTTACAAGCTCGACCTAAGAAAATGTTTCACTCTCTTAAATTAAACATATGCACATAGCATAAGAAGGAAAAAAACAGGCAAAGCAGCATTACTCATATGATGTTCACTCATACGCACCTTAAAAAAAGCCACTGTAAAGAAAACAGTGAAAGACGGGATTTTTCATTAAGAATAATCAACATTTTACACAAACCTAGTTTTTAGGAGAAGAATAATAATATTACTTTTCTCTTAAACACCTACATTATCTGTGGATGGGTAGGTGCTAGAAAAAATGTTCTTCATAGCCAATACTATACTAACTCTTAACCTTTTGTTTGGTAACATGCCAGAGATGAAGACTGACCACTGAGTTTGTAAAAAACAGAAGATCCAGGAGTTCAAAGGACAGAGAAAGGACCAGCAGGAGCAGAATTGCTAGAGGATGGGAAGCTGGTGTCAGATATCACACATCAGTTTTCGCTGATGAGCTTGAGCACTCACAGTTGAAATTCTCAGTACATTCAACAGAGAGAAACCGGACCTCAGCAGGGCAATCCAGAAAGTGGTGAGTGACGAGGCAGGCAAAACTAGTTCATTAATTGGAAGAAACTAGCCCCAGTGCTTATATATATTTATTGCCATTTCAAGACTGGATTGCAGTGGAGTTGAAGTTAAATACTCAACCATTTTGACTCACACACTTCTGCCTCTTTGTGAGCACTTGAGTTTAAGTGTCTAAGAATCTCTCAGGTTCAAAGTGTGGGCACGTTTCAGCTCCTTCAATGGCTTGTCAGCCACTGGAGCAAGGGTGCAGAGTTACTGTCATGCAGCCAGACACAAATTCTCATTCAGCTCTAAGGAACAAAAGCAGGAGGTGTGAGTCTTGCCCAGGGTAGTGGAAATACGGGAATGAAGGAGAAGACAAAACAGTGGACAGTTTTCGGAAAACGGTAGTAAAGAGAGCTGCAGAAAGAGAATAAGAACCCGCAGCAATTCACATGAGGAGAAAAAGAAAACTGGAAAAAGATAAAACCCTGTTAGTTAGTTCAATCTTCTGAATCTCTGAAGTTTTAGACTTACAGAGGCTACCCATTTAAAAATAAATGCCTGAAGCTGTGAACATTTTCACAGGAGGTGACCCTCTACTTTCACACCTGTCTATGAGAGCTCTATTGTTTTGTCCTGAAACCTGACAAAAAGATCCCAAAACACAGAGAAATTTTACTCTGATGTTATTCCACAGCTTGGTCTTGCAATACATGGACAGAGAACAGTATGCCATGACAGGCATTTACAAAGATCAACTGGGACCCTGTAGCATGAAAAAAGTTCTTCTAGGCAGTTCCCTGTAGAAATAGAATTTTCTATTGTTTCGGGAAGTTAATTATGAAGTTTTAAAGGTATGACTCAATGCTCCAAATGGAACTAGTAATTTTTTATTCTTCTATTAACAAAACATCTATTTCTAAGAGCCCTCCAAAACCTTGCCTTTTGTAGTCAAGATGCCACAATCCAAATTAGTTTAATTACTTTTACTTATTATTTTTCCTGTCCTACCATGACTCCTCTCCCTTAAGCACTTAAGAACATAGTTACATTGGTTACTCATTAAATCTCCCTAAACTCAAGCAAATAATGAACTAGTAATGCTGAATAATGACCACTGTTCAGCCAATCTTCCCAAAATCTTCCACCTTCCTCACAGCCCAACATCTGTCTTCCCATACCCTTATTCATGTGCTCTAACATCTAGAAGATCATTCACCCAAAGAAATAAACCTCTCTCAAACTTTTACTTTAAAACCTGATGATATTCACATATTTGACAGGGTTTCAGCATTGATGGATAAGGGAAGAGCAACTGACGTCATCTACCTGGACTTGTGAAAAGCACTCAACCCTGTCCCACATGACATCCTTGTCTCTAAATTGGAGAGACATGTATTTGACAGATGGATCACTTGGTGGATTGGCTGGATGGTTGCACTCAAAGAGTTGCGGTCAACGTCTCAGTGTCCAAGTGCAGACCAGTGACAAGTGATGTTCTGCAGGGGTTAGAATTGGGACCAGTGCCATTGCACATCTTTGTCAGAGACATGGACAGTGGGATTGAGTGCACCCTCAGCAAGTTTGCTGATGACATCAAGCTGTGTGGTGCAGTCAACAAGCTGGAGGGAAGGGATCCACAGGGACCTTGACAGAGTCAAGAGGTGGGCCCAGGCAAACCTCATGAAGTTCAACAAGGCCAAGTGCAAGGTCCTGCACACGGGTCGGGGCAACCCCAAGCACAAGTACAAATTGGGTGGCGAATGGATTGAGAGCAGCCCTGAGGAGAAGGACTTGGGGGTGTTGGTTGACAAGAACTTAAACATGACCCAGTAATGTGTGCCTGCAGCCCAGAAAGCCAACCATGTCCTGGGCTGCCTCAAAAGAAGTGTGACCAGCAGGTAGAGGGAGGTGATGTTCCCCCTCTGCTCTGCTCTCATGAGATCCCACCTGGAGTACTGTGTCAGCTCTGGAGTCCTGGACCTGTTAGAGTGAGTCCAGAAGAGGGACACAAAAATTATCACCTCCCATATGAGGACAGGCTGAG